ACAAAATTATTAGGCTGAGAAATTTTCTTAGATCACAAGGCTGATTACAGTCAGCAAGGTGTAGTTTTGCCCTAAGCCTCAGTGCTTTGAAAGTTCCGCATTGAAAAGCGATATGTTAGTGGATTGGAGCACCAAAAGCTTAATTGGAAACGTTCACACAAGGCTAAATGTTGACCGAAACAAGGTAGTTTGAAATTCATCGTAAAGCGAATAAATATCACAAAAAGCTAAATGTTAAAGGGATATTCTCTCGTGCGTGGTGCATAGCATGATCACGCAATCACCTTTGATGAAATGTAGTAAGTGTTAATGGCTAAAAAACAGCTGAGTGATGCAAGATGCAGCAACAATACATCACTTCTTGTGGATTGGTTTCCGGCTAGTTTGAAACCAGGGACTTTTATCAAAGAAGTAATTACAAGAAGACAGCTTTCAAACCACGAGGCAGCGTAATTTCCTTGCAGAAAACCGATTTGCCCTCTATTCCAGGTTTAAGTTTCCGCAAACTTGGCGCAACGCTGTATTCCTTTTGGCGAGGTTCTCATAGCGTGCCAATCGGGGGATGTCTAACAGGAAAGATTATCTGTAAAATGCTCTTTGATCACTGGTCATTTCTGCTTACATCTTCTACAACTATACAGGTCTTCAAATGTAAAAATATGTTGAATTTGATTAGATGTGATATTGATACCAACCCCCCCCCCCAGTTGCAAAACCAAAATGGTGACTTTAGGGCCTTGCTAAAAAAAGAGGAAATACGGTTCTGATATACCTACAGTAGTTTTGCCAAATGCCAAAAGTAACGCCTTATGTTCCACAGAATACCCTTGAGAGGAAGGGTCAATTTTGTTGGTCCACAAACTGCAAAATGCCTAATCCTTTTGAAAATAAATCAAAAGAAGTATTTCAATATTAGGATATCCATACATCTGATAGCAGCTTGTGATCTTGCAACATATTCAAACTGCAGAGCCACTGTATGTGAATAGGCACCAACATTTACGAAGCTAAGAGATTACAAAGTGCATTATTCAATAAAGTTTCCCCTGGTCATTAGATAGAACTATAATTATCAGGGAGTCCGCGCTGTCCTGAAAGGCTATACCGTTATCAGGGAACAGATAATGGTGCTGGGTCATCGTCTGCATCGTCCAGGTTTCGCCACCGAGCCATTTTTAAGAAAGGGCTTAAAGGGATAATCTCAGCCCGATCGCTATCGCGCTCAATTGAACGCATCCTCAAGGTTCTGCTCGCTGAGTCTTCGAATTGACAAAGTTCCACGGCAATTCTGGGTCCCAGTGGGCCATGTGCCACCCTTTCCTCTTCTTCAAAAACAGTATAACAATTCAAACCATCTTGAAACCAACTCAAACCAAGCAAATATTTAATCCCTGCACCCCAAAGCTTACAGATAAATTAACCTTGTCTTGCATTTAATAATTGGCGAACGGGGCCGGATCAGGCCGGGGCGGAGCTACTTTATTTTTGTGACTCCCCCCCCCCTCCCCAAGGAAAAGTTCTGAAGTTTTGTGTCCAATGCAGGTGCACAGAAAAAAGTGCTTAATCCATATAATATATAATGTACTGATACACAGGACTGGATTTGCTGAAACTTGTATTTATAACGTCAACACCATTACCAAATAACTCGTATAAACTGAAAGAACATTCTATCTAATCTGTGCTATGTATTGTGTGTATAATTGTCAGTTCATTTCGTGACACCTGGGGGCCTAATTAGACAGCTGCTACCATTAATAACAAAATATGGTGATTTAATTGCTTTCATTTGATACTTCCAGAATTGTTGAAGGTAGAGGCAGTGGCCAAGCTAGCGTTAAAGACTAATCGACTCTCTATACTTCATCTTTCATTTATTTGAATTGCTTAATCATTATACGAAAAAAGAATCACATTTGCTCATTCTTATCAATTGCCTTACTTGTGTGCTTTAATTACTTTCAACGCAGCATATCACGGGTAACGCGATTCCATTTTTCTAAATAGATATTGCTTAGATGAGAATCGTAATGATTGTTTTATCTTTTAAAGTGGCATAACTGTCAAGGGACGCCTCAATTTTCTACGCTGTATGCAAGTTAGACAAAACACACATACGGGTTATTCTTTATGACACTGCAGTTTGATAAATTGCCCTCGTCTACCTTGGCACATGTGCAAGTCAAAATGCAAATGTTTACGACTAGCAGCTTTGTGAAATTTTCGAAAACACAAACACAGAGGAGGTCAGGAGAGTGGTTTCAGAAATAATAGCAGACTAGAGTATGCGGCGCGGCAAAGAGTAGAAGCTGGCAGAATTCACCCACGGCTATTTTTCGGGTTGTTTGCTCCCAAGAACGTAGATATATATTCACCATATTCTGCTTGATCCTTTTACTGAGATGACACTCCAAGGGCAGATATTTTCACCCTTACTGCTAAGAGGTTAGCCACCTCCCGCAGAATCTCGCACGTTTTCTAGTCTCGTATGACGTCATACAGCGCCGGCACCTTCGTTTTAAGTTTAAAACCCTCAAAGATAAGCATTCAGCAATTAAGCGACTTCCATTAGAACGATCTCTATTTGAAAAATGAACAGTGGAGCCCTATGGGAATAGGGAATGGATGTGTCCTCTAAGGTTTGCAACTTCGTTCCATATCAGCAAATACAATCTTTCCACTTACAGAAATATACGTATAAAGATATACGAATTTAAAGGGGAACATATACAAGTAAATTACACCCCTATTCCCTAAGTGTGTCATCTCCAATAAAATCAATCAATTACATACTATCTTTTAAAGTATTCATGAAATCAAGTCGGTCACTTATCTTATTAACGGTTATTTGACTTGCTGAATGCTTATCTTGAGGGTCTTTCGCCATATCAACCTTTCCTTGCCTCTAGATTGCAGGTAATGTCTGCGAAACTGTTTCGGATTAAGGTCGTTATAGCACGTAATAGTATGATTATTTGTTGAAATTTCTTGAGACTACACATATTTCCGCTACATTTCTTATTTCAAATAATATCAAACTTTAACTTATGTATTTATTCACCCCTGTGAGTACTTTTGAATCACGTTACAGCAACGTGTGTTTGAAAGGATTCCATTTATATATATACTGGGGAGAGAACAATACTTTTACATGTATCAGTTCTCGTTTTATTCACTATTAAAATTATCCTAGAAACGATGTCAATATACAACAGTTTTGCATTTATACCGGTTTGAGTGGTTTTAATTAGCATCACAACTTTGTTTCGCAATGATAAAAAAAAGCAAATGGTGTTATGTATTTGCAGTTGAACTCGGTCCTCGGTAACGGCTTACCAGTGTAACCTTAGTAAAAATCTCCCTCCGTGGAAAACGCGAAAAGCTGTACAGGAAGCCACAAAAAGGATATGAGGGATCCGTCGCAGAGCGAACACAAATGTAATTTACCACAAGCAGTTCCTGAAACCAAGAACACAGGAACGATTCCTCTGATATTATTGGTTTCACAAAAGCAGGATATCATTTACGGATTCTGTCCCAGTTTGACGCCAATACCTCTTCTCAATGTGGAGAAAGTTAAGTTTTTTTTTGTTTGTTTTATTATTTGTTTTCATTGTGTATTAGTAGGTGGATATATTGTTTATCAGAGGAAATTATGTGGTCGCATATTTGCTACATGTACAACAAAGCTACCAAGGCAGCGAAGTCATCCCTATCGATTAAAGTGTATGCACGCGCGCCCGCGGGTATGGTGTGTGGGAGAGAGAGAGAGAGAGAGAGAGAGAGAGAGATGGGGTTAGGAAGAAAGTGAAAGTTTTGTGCATGTGTGTTTTCGAGAGAGAAAGAGAGAGAGAGAGACAACGAAAGCTTTCCACACACCAAGGGTGGACGTACGTCACACGTCTGTGAAACTAAACGTGAGTACTATTCCCCAGTGCTCATCGATCTCGTTGTATGTGTAACAAGATTTACGTGAAATACGGCCGCAGCGGGATCTGGGAGATCGGAAAGTCACAGCCATAAAACGAAACGTTATTGCGCGCTGGATTTATCTAAAGCGCATTGAAGATAATAACGAACTCAAGGTTATCTAATTTACGACTCCACCTAGAGTTTTTGTTGGATTTGTTGCATTTTTGGCTAATCAAACCACAGCTTTCGCTAATATCAGGGAACGAAAAACATGCCGCTAAATTACAGTTATGTCCATTGTTTTCAGCAAGATTGGACAATACATCTTCAGAAATAGTCACTTTTGCCAAAGTGGTTAAATGGACGTCGTTAGATTTACCTGCTAGCGCCAACTGTTTCCAGCTAAGTTATCCCTAGAATAGTTTTTACCAAATCCAATTTGGGCAATATCAGAAGCATTCAACAGATAAATAGAGAGTCAATGGAAAAATATTTTCAAATTTTGTCGTCGGCTAATTGATCATTTTTGCGGTCTGCAAATTTTCTTTAACTCAAATACACGCACGTATTTTTGGTTTAATTAAAATATCATAGACGTTTCATGCATCATTGGTCTGATTTTTGTCAAGCGTGTAGTTATGGTAAGAATATATATCATAACAAAATTATAGAGATTTTAGGGGACACCATTTTGTCCCATTTGATACCGGTGTACCAACTGGGACAAAATGTGAAAAAATATTGATTGTTGAAATAATGTTCTAAACGTTAAAACAAATAACACATCATCTCCGCATTCGTCGTTTAACGTGATAATAAAATATCGGCGATTATGACAAGTAAGTTAATTACATGAGTGATGATATGATTTGTAATTTGGAACCGCGTTCGGTAAGGAAATGAGATTATGATTCCTAAACCCACGACGCAGGAGAATAGTTTTTGCAGCTTTTCTTTTCATGTCATTAATGATAAATTAAAAGAAAAAATAGAAAACTGAAAAGAGATGCAGATACGGTATGTGAAACAATAATAATGATAATAATAATAATAATATTTAATGGATATTAGCAGTGTTTATCACCTACCTGTACTCGTGAAGTAGCGGCCTTGTTTTTGAAACAGTGCTCTCCATTTCGGGACGACTTTCTCACCACGGTCGGTTTGGGCGCCGACAGCCCTCGGCTGAGGAACAACATTCGAGCTATGAGAACGTAAAGGACCGCTGTGAGCAACAAGGGAACTGCATAAAACACGATGAAATCAGCCGTGTAGTAGATCCCATATGTTTTACGATCCAGTCGAAGGCTGCAGTCGTCTAATTCTATCCCCCCGACATACTTCGCTGTATTTAGTTTGGTCAGACCCAGCCATGGGGCGCAGTACGTTATACTAAAGGCCCACAGGATAAGTATGATCCGCTTGGCCCGAGCGACAGTGCACAGAGTTTGAGCCTTCATTGGGTGACAGATTGCGACGTAGCGTTCTATCGTGAACGCCGTGATGGACAACGCTGAGGCGTTAACGCCAAGGTAAGTTAAGAAAGTTAAAAAGGCACACCCGACCACGCCGTACGGAAAGTCTTCTATGTAGAGGAAAAGGCTGACAATGTTAGGCAACGTTGCTGAAAGTAAAACTGTGATATCTGCCACTGCCAGACTGACCAAGTAGCAGTTCGTAGGCGAGTGCATGGTGCGCGTTTTGGTTACAACTAAAACCACCATGACGTTCCCCACCAGTCCAACCAGGAGAAAAATCACGCCGAATATGACCCCCAAAATCACGGTGTTAAGAGGCCAGGGGGTGGGGGTCCTCAACATCGTGGAGTTGCCGCCCATCCCTGTGTCGTTGTCGACACAAGCCTCAAACTCCTTTTCCCAGTTGTAATAAAGCGTTGACATCTCGCAACCGAGTTCTCTGGCGTCAAACAGCAACGGCCGAACACTCTGATTGGAAAGCGCTGTCAGTCTCTCGGCAAAGGCTTCCGAAGTGTTTCCGCCGCGAGTCTCCAGCGCTAACACTGACAAATTCATCGGTGCGAAGCCCTTGCCACTCATGTCTCCTCAGTCGCAATGATACAGAGTAGGGGCACAGCACGTAATACGTCGACTTCCAATAGGTTTTTAACGTCCCGTGTGAGATAACGAGCGCTTGCCCTTTATCTTGGCAGCGCATACACTAATAACCAAGGGATCATTGTAAAGAAAACATTAATCAATCAACAGAACACAATCACTGTTGTTGTAGGGTAGAAGGGCCTTAGTCACCACCCAAAACCCCTGGCGCGAACACGCCGTTGTCGACAAAGAACAATAATGTTATGTATTCACGTCACGCATTGGAAACAGTATCAGCAACCGAATCGATTAAACCTCTCCCATTAAGCCTGCCGTCTTAAGTCGTTAATCTTAACGCCAATGAGTCCCCGGAGGAACTAATCCAAACGTGTTAGCAGGCCCGCGCGGACCAAAGATGCCACCAGCAATTTGACATCACTAATAAGCTGTAGTTGACATTCGCAGTCCGCACGATCTCGGCGTGATTCTAAGAAGAGTACCGCGCCATCACGACGTGCCCAGAAGTCATGCGATAATCGCTGTGTTTTTTAGAACTCATCTCAGGAAAGCATCCGGTCGCTTGTTTCAACAGGATGTGATCTTTTCGAACACGCATCCGCTGTCTTTCTAGATTTTCTTTGATGCCCCGTTTAACTTGTAGACCTGTGACCAGGCGGTTTGATAGCTTTCATGCCTCTTCACTGGAATACCTGGCGCTGAAATGGCATAAACCGAACATCGTTTATTTTGCAAAAGAGTTTGCTTCACGTGGATCTCTGAAACATAAAACCACATCCAACTGAACTTAAAACAAACAACACAGGGCGGCATTAACTATTATTTTAATCGCAAAGGAAAACAAATAAGACAAAAACAGAGACTAGCTGTGTATACGCTGAAAGGGTATTCCCACGTTCGGCCGACGGTAACTACAAGCATAAATGTGCTCCACAAACAATGTATGGAAAATTACATATGTAAAGCATTATGTCAGACGGAATAAACTGCACCGCTAAAACAATTAAGCAAGTACATGTACGGAAAGTCGATCCAGTTAGCCCAGAGTTACGCCTTTAGCCACTGGGCATAATTTTAGGGACCATTCCCAGCCCCTATCGTACTAATGTTGGATCGATCTATCTCAAAAGGGGATTCTCGCTAAATCGCTGTCAACTTAAGCGGCTTAGTTGCCTGCCACGCCTACTGAACCTGCTAGGGAGTAATTGATTATCGTTTAGCAGCTTCAGTAGGCGTGCCAGACATCTAAGCCGCTTAAGCTGAAAGCATTTTAGCGAGAAACCCCTTGGAGATGGATCGATCCTGTTAAATCGATCTAGGCATGGGAACCAAGGCTCTATTCCCATAGATTTTAGATCGATCTATCCCCGCGGGGAGTCTCACTAGATTACTTTCAGATAATCCGACTTAAATGTCCGTCCCGCCTACTACAAGCTGTAAGGAGGTAATTAACTTTCGTGTCCGCCCGGCTGACAGCTATTTAGCGTTAACCCCCAGGGAGTTAGGTCGATCTAAAGTAGGTCGATCTAATCTGTGGAAATGGGATGCAAGTCTTAAACTACTGACAAAAATACGTCCACCAACGAAGGAGGTTTTGTTTTCATCAGCGTTGTACCCCGCTCCTTCTTTGTTGTAGTAGTAGTAATAGTAGATAAGATAGTTCAAAACTCACAATAGCACAAGAGGTTAATAAAACTTCAGAATAAATTATTACCCAGGAAGGACAGAAGAGATTGAAACTTAACTGAATCTTATGATAATAAATGATCAAAAATGCAGTAAGTGTTGTTGTTTTAATTGATCATTTGTTTGTTGTTATTATTATACTGGCTTTATTTAAATTTGTTGCATATGATATCATAACCTCTTTTGTACATAGAAATTAAGGCGTCCATTAGACCCACGATGCTGGATTTTTAGCCCCCGTTATAATCGTAAATACTATCTATCTATATACATATATATATACCTAATTACATATATCATCTACGGGTGACGTCATAATTGCGATTTCGCTGTGAAAACTGAAAAAACAGTTTCTCAATTTTCTCTTTCTCTGAGCACCCACGATCGCCGTTTCAACGCCGATTTACTATCACCATTTAGTACTCTAAAACCCTGCCAACGATTTTTCTTTAAAGTCTTAATTTAGATTTTATCGTTGATAAAGAAAAATAAACTTCCCAACAAACTCCATAGCAAAGACATTTAAACCAAAATGACGATATGGGATTGTGGCCCATACACTCATCGTTAACTCTGCCAGTTTTTCGTGATAAAATCTTGTTCATGAATGAAAGCACGCCCCATACCATATGCTATCTCACCTCAAAATAGAAAGGTGTTAAATTGACGATTAAAGCTTTGAGTTGCCTATGCTTATACATTAAAAACGAGAAATATAAATGACGGTATTTTATATTTTCGAATTTTTTGTTTATGTTTAAAATCAGCACGAAGATAGATGCATTATTGAATGATCAAATGCAGGAAAACCTTCGTTTTCGGTATCTGGGTGATTATAAAAGTTTACAATAACCTTAAGCCACACTTGCTGCACCCCTAAGCTATGTACATTCGTGCGTGTATTGGTCATTAGACCAAGCGAAAAGCGCACATCTGGTTAGAGGAGGGACTGCAGCATGGTATCATGGGAACGGATAGGTGGTCTTGAAGTCAGCTGCTTGAAACTAAAGAGCTGCATGCATCATTACAGAACAAGGCCATTGACTTCGCTTTGTGCGCGTGCATTTGGGGGCTTGTGTCTGTACCATCCGGGATTTAATGTGTAACGTATATTTCACTGCTCTATATCTTCACACACATGCACACACATACACATGCACGCACACATGCACACACACACATGTACACACATACACATGCACACACATACACATGCACACCCATTCATAGGCACACACACATGCACACACACATGTACACACATACACATGCACACGCATACACATGCACACACATACACATGCACACGCATTCATATGCACACACACATGCACACACATACACATGCACACACATACACATGCACACGCATACACATGCACACGCATTCATATGCACATACACATGCACACACATACACATGCACACCCATTCATAGGCACACACACATGCACACACATACACATGCACACACATACACACGCACACACATACATGCACACACATACACATACACACACACATACACATACACACACATTCAGCGCACATAACTTTTAACTTCTTACCTTCTTACCCCCTTCTTTCGCGCAAAACTCTCTCTTTCTCTGTCATTAAAAGCTAATAGATACAAAGTAACTTCTTTTTGTTCATTACGAAGAGTCCTCTCTCTCTCTGTATGTCACACTCTCATACTCTCACACTCTCATACACTCTCTGCATTCTTATTTATACTTTTAACGAAGGCCAGTCTGTCTGTTTATATTCACTTATATCTGTCGTTTCTTCAAGGTTTTTCGGGCTCCGTTCCACCCCTATTGGTCACCTAGAAGCCAGCAACCCTCTGCTAACAATGGTTCTGCCACCATGGCTCAAGCAGCAGTACCCGCACATAGCAGAAGCTGTAAACTCGAACGCAGAGCGATTGGTTACTCCGTACGATATCCACGCTACGTTAGTCGATATCCTTCACTCTGATTTGCCAATTACCAAAAAGAGTACCAATGGCAAGAAACGTAGAGAAAGACTTGCGAAAGGAATAAGTTTGTTCCAAAATCTTCCCAGCAGGACGTGTGCCTCAGCAGGTATACCAGAAGACACCTGCACTNCATGCACACACATGCACACATACACACACACATATACACACACATCCACATTCACACACACACACACATACACATACACATTTGCATACATGTATAAACTAGTTCACATTCCCTTGCATCTAAAAGTCATTACTTTAACCCATTATTACTGCATAACTTGATATCAAATGTTCAGATCGACCACACTTGAGTCAATTGTAAAGAAACTAAATTCTAAAGCATTATTTGACTTTTTTTACATGTATATTTTTTTCAGAACAACAAGTTGTTACAATACAATAACTTTAGGATCTTGATTAATTTGCCCAAAATGGATTTTTTAATTAATAGTAATATCAAATAATAACATAAAGTGATAATTATTTCAATACCTGGTGAAGGCACGTTATAAGGGCCTCCATGGAGGCTTTCATAAGCGAGTTGCAATAGACAGATAGAAGTGGCAAAAATATATACACAAGGAAGCATAAAGCTGCGGAAATAAACTTACAGGACAACAGCAGCAGCACAGCGCAGGCAGGCAAGCGAAAATAACGAAATCAGACGCTATTTGATATGTAACGAAAGCAGCGGCTATTTTTTGCCCACACTGCCGGAGATCCTTGCGAGACTGAAGTGGTTTGACCAACCAGCTCCAGAACCCCTGAGCGACTAGAAAGTCATCAATGATTCTAACAGACGAACAGCAACATATTAAACAAATCTATAAACGGACTTCTAGGACTTCTAGTAGTAATAAGGTCGTTGCACCGCGTTATTAAAAGATTAATTGGGTAATGCATCATCAGCATCATTTACGAGCAAGCCAATACTTCGTGCTAATTCAGAAATACGGCACTCACCGAATCAATAAAAATAATTCGACTACTTTTTTTTCTGATACGAAACACTTTCTAACGAATTGGGAAATAATGCCCCATGGAACCCATGAGGTCAATGTTTTTTCTTTCATTAAAGATGCACCGCGCCAAAAATAAAACTTAAGAAAATATTTTTTTAAAATGACCTGTCTTTCTTTCAATTTTAATTATAAAATAATTATAAAATAATTTTAAAATAATCACATGTACGCTAGTTGCCAACAGTTTTTTTTTTTTTTTTTTTTTATCAAAATAAAGCTGGATGTGTGATAAAATACCATTTCTGACTAGCACATATCAGGCCTGTTCAATCCATTGTAGCTAACACGAGGCGTACAGAAAATGAAGGTCATGTCCGCGGCTTATATAACAGCGGGTACAATTAATATAATTAATCTGGGTAAAGCGATTTCCCATTTTGTTTGCAATGATTTATATAAAGCGTTTAGCAAAAGCTATAAGACCGCCATCAAAATCCATTTTAATGAAATATTTCGCACCAACGCTGCGCTTTTGTACCCGCTATTAAACAGTCTTTCTCCATCCAATATAAGCTAACGCGCGTTTAAAAATGACTGTAATCAAAACTCAAATTTAATATGACCTAGAAGCCAACCGTTATCCACCCAACAAAACTTCTTCATAAAAAATGTCATGATCGTAAATCACATATCAGTGCAGATAATCCATGTTCAACGACTGATAGTGGTTTATTATTGCAGCCTCATCGGCCACTCGTCCCTACTTGTATATTGCAAAACGAATCGAAAGTGTTATAACTAAAATACCATCCGACAACCAAATTGCTTCATTCCTACGAGAGTCTACGGATTGGCATTATTGTTAATATTAGGCAGATCGTAATTACCAGTCAGAGAAGCGTGTTCGTTTAATTCCCATAGACTTAGGAGTCGGGATCGATGGTACGTACCCACGCGGTGCCAAGTTGATTGGTTTTTTAATCCACAAACACCAACAATAATTCCGGCAATAATGACGTGACATTTACAAGCGTTGAATACAATATTCCGGTTAAAAGCAATGGAGTTGACTCTCTTAATAGGGGTCAAGGTTTCATGTGGCTTAACCTTTTAACGTATAAAGCGATTTGGAAATTAATACAACTTTCAGGTGCATGCAACTGGTACAGGGATGTCTTGAAAACTGCCTGGAAATCTCGTGGAATTACAAGGTATCGATAGAGACCTGGGGGAGAATTCACGCAAAAAAAAAATCAAAGTGAATCAAGTAAATGTTTCTTTCTTATTAATTGCCATATGACACGCATTGTGGCTTATTGGGTTAGACTACGGGTGATTTATCTGGGTTCAAAGTAAACTTAATTTAAATCAAAATGTTTAGGTTGATTAAGGAGTTATTTGACGACACTGATCCCTTGTCTCAATGTCGTCCTTTTGTCTGAGACCAGGACGAGTGCGGTACCATAGCTCGTGTTCCAACTGAAGGGGGCGCTACTGACAGCTACAAAAAAGTGACAGCAGTAAAAATTAATCGTGGAGTTAAATAGCAATATTCACGCAGGGCTTTTATCTTTTTAATCAAACGATTGACAAAATAACCTTGTTTTATCGAGCGGAATTTATTGTGAAGTTATCCAAAATATTCGTTTAATTGGGCGCAACGTCAATGCTTGCAATAGATATTATTACCCAGATATGCCAGTGAATGATCTACCAAAATGTTAAATATTCTAGACAGCACTTCTTATCAATCGCCCCCAAACGTACTCTCATAGACGAAAGCTGCCTAAAATTCACCAATTATAACATGTGTTAATTTCCAAATACGTAAGCTGGTGGAGGAGATAAACTATTTTTGATTATACCGAATTCAGGGTAATTCTGAGCTTAGGGACGGTAATAGTAATCATCGTTCTCAAATGAAGGTCCTTATGGATTACTGGGTTCTTCAGAGGGGAGGATTCGCCAACTGTGTTTTAATCAACTGACTCGTTTCATCGGCTGTTAAAATCACTTAACTACGTGCTTCTGAACGTAGATTTCATGAAATTTTCAGTCCTGTTACGCAAACCAAATGCAGGTTTATGTCTCAATAAAAACGGCCAGACAGCCCATAAACGTAAGGTTTTAAGGATTATGACTACAAGCGAGAGCAAAAAATTATAACACCTTATTAGTCAAAGGACCAGACAATCATCAGCTGATGTTCTGAACATAAAGACTTATTTTACAATACACTGTATATCACTTTTAATTACTTTTTAAATTTTTTTTAAAATGCGAAACGACTATATGGTGTGTTCTTAAGATGGCCCCAGGCAAGTTTGCCTTAATTTACACATGGAAAATAACAAAAACCTAGAATACATTTTATAAACATGACATAATCAAAAATGTCTAAAAGTATTTTGTCGCGGTCGTAAAATATGTCACTCACCCACATGTACATGTTCAGTCGGCCGTTACAATAACGGTGATTGTTTTTAGCACCAAAAACTTATTTATCCCTACCGTATACGTCAAGTCTCAAAACTATTATAATTAAACAAAACGGGCTGTCTCATTGGAGATAAAATAAAAGTTAACTGACTTGATATTCTATACCCCATGTCACTCCTTAGACTCAGAACAACACATAAAAGCATGGACGAATCCGTCCAGCTATACCTGCGCAGCAGCCAAGTGCCTGCACGCCTGCAGCTTGTAAAATTAAATTTCTTCATTGTAATCCGATTTTTTTTAATTTGGCAAATCGAAACCATTTCGGCCAAACCAGTAAGTTATTCTCGATCTTGGGTCCCATTCCCATAGACACCATGGGTCTACGTGGATCGACCAAACTCTGCGGGGACTCTCGCTGACTGCAATCAGCTTAACTGAATGATAAGCCGTCTCCTGGTACTGGGTAGAGTACAGAAAAGCTGATGGTGATACCAGTGCGTTGGGAACAAGAGGAGACCTGCCTTTAGTATTCTGATTTCACTTAGCCAGTGCCCTCGCAGAGTTGGGTCAACCAACGTCGACCGATGGTGTCTTTGGGAATGGAGTCTTAAACTCATCTTTAAGTCGATTCCTGCAAATTTTGGATTTGTTGCCATAAACGGATTAAAAGCATGCAAACGTCCACCCTCGCCAAAGGCCTGTAACGTTCTTGCATAAGACGTATCCATGCTTTCTGGGCAACAGGCTGGGAGGGGTGGTCAAGCGGTCAAATGGCTAAGGGTTGAAGGGCGGCTCTTTAAACTGCTCTTCAGACTACTCTTCAAACACACTTTAAGCTATATTTAAAATCTAATAAAGACCTGTGACGTTCTTGTATAAGCCGTGCCTGTGCTTTCTAAGCAAGAGGTGGAATGGTTAAGCGGTCAACTGGCCAAAGGCTGCAGGGCGTTTCTTTAAACTTCCCTTCAGCCCATACTGTCAACTCCCTGTATATGAAAAAATTATAATAATGGCACTGCAGTTAAGTGTTATACTGTAGAATTGTGGTCTTCTTTTCTACGTGGTTTGTCCACATGGACTTCAAAGTATCAAATTACTTCTACTTTGGCCGTTGGCCGTTATGTACAGAATGTGCAGTCCTCATTTATTGATATCATCTTTCATCCAACTCCATTAGTTCCTGAATATGAAACCACCAGAGGGCGTGCAAGTGGTATTTAACGATAGATGATCCAGCAATCGGAGTGAAACAACGTAACAAAATGGCGTGACCCTACCGCGTTAGATTACGACGTGAGAAATGTCAGTCCTTTAAATAATCCCAAAACGAATTGAAGGTACGTGTGTCTCCCGTGGGAGTGGCGCGTTAAAAGCGTGGAAGTCGCATAGACTTATATCAAATTTCCTGGCGTCATTGACAATTTCTAGAAATTCGAAGTTGAATTGTCAAAGACATTTCTTGACATTCGTGCGGAATAATTGTTTTATAATTTTCGGTTCTGGTGTCTCATTTTGTATTTTATAATGATTTTGGCGCCTTGGAAACAACCCTGTCTTTCAGACATGACTGACATGACTCCAAAACACTGCAAGGTTATAAAATGGTCAATTTTATCTTCTCTTCGAGGCATCAAGGAATTGAGAATTATCAAATGTGTTCTACAGTAAATTGGTGAGTAATCCTAAAGATAACGGGCATGCGTCTTAAACTTTCGCGCCCACGCGTCCCCGGCTAAGGTTTTTCACAAGCACACTCTTTTGGATTAAAGTGGTACAAAGTTACCCCAGCGTAATAAGAATTTGAGACTAAGAAGAAACGTGATAAGGCTGTACGAATAAAACCGCAAATGTATCACGTAACAGTACATGTATGTTTGACTATACCGTAAGCGCTAGTAATATATGACACCCAACAGAGCAGCTCTCTACACGTTATTTTTCCACAGAAACACAGGCCGCATGCACACTTTAACCCTCCGCATATAAAGATTAATGAAAGACACAACTCTCTCTCTCTCTCTCTCTCTCTCTCTCTCTCTCTCTCACACACACACACACACACACACACACACGCACAAACACACAGAGACAGAGAGAGAGAGAGAGAGAGAGAGAGAGGGAGAGGGGGGTCATTACAACCCTAGCTAATTCTACAGCAACGTTAATTAATAAAATCCGCGAGTATTTTTTGTATCTGAACAATCTTTGAATCTATATACAGCAGACTCTTCTTAACACCGACGCACGGGGACAGATTTGTTCGAGTAACGTTAGTCAATGTTCATCCAAGTTTTGGCAAATACAAAAGAAAAAATCCATTCCGAAGGGTTATACATCGATGAGGTAGGCAGAGTCGACGGTAGACTCATTTTCCTAAAGAGGGCAGGCCACGACAGCACAAAGCCGGTGTGTTAAATGAAGCAACCCACTTACGGAACGAAAGTACAAAGTAAATCACCAAATCCCATGGATAAAATGCGTTTTAGTGAAAGGGCATCTAACCCACTTAACACCCACAAGACAAAGAAACCTAATTGCATCACAGACCAAGGATAATGGAATTAAATGTCAATCAAATATTATCCGAGAGAAAAACGAATAATTGGACACTTGAGAATTTAGGTAACCACGGGAAGAAAATCAGAGGTATAGAAAAACAGGTTAATCTAAATTACCTGAGGGGGTTGACAACTAATGATTAAAAATTAATAATTAAGACAGATGTATACAATGTGCACACAGTACAGATAGATGGTCGCTTACCTCTATACATGAGGCATACATACATCTAATTGCGTAAAATATGAATATTTATTTCTCAATCATGAACAAATTTGATTCAAAATCACGGGTCGCAGAAAATATACCAGGCAAATGATAATATCAAAATAATGATCAAAAGAAACGAAACCAGCATGAACTTGACCGATATTTAAAAGTTCTCCTCTCCCGTCAACCAGCCGAGTATCATTTGCGGTTAAGACAAAACACAGAGCGACAGACAGACAAACGCAGAAAGACACAGAAAGAGAAATCAAACGGAGGATGATTTAAATGTTTGCATCTTTCTTGGAATTCCAGTTTCCAATTACAGTTTCAATAAGATAAGCGAGAGCACATGTATTTCTCCATCACGTACGATAAGAAAGTATTAAATAAGATCGACACATGTTGTACGCGATAGAATGTTTTCGTTAGTGTAGTATTCATAAAAACATTCCTATACAATCATGAGATAAGAAACAAACATGTTTAACACATTAATATGCCGTCCAGTCTGCAGATGGTCGGTTGTACATTTTTGATATCAAAATTTTGTTTATAAAATGACTCCCTTTTTAATAACTGCTCAGTCTCAAGTGTAACTTTAGTGTGCTATCGGTTTCGATAAATTTCATCTCAACGCTATATCCTCAAAATTCCCCAAACCTGATTTAAAGTTAAGTATGTACACAAGGCCTTAATTGATATGAATTAATAAGTAACAAGATTACTTTATGCGAAGACGGAAAAACAAAAGAAAAAACAAATTTGATAAATGAGTGTAGAAAATCACTTTACTCACGGTCATGCTGCTAGGCTCATGTCCCTAACTAAAGCCAATTCCCAACTGAAGCGAAGAACAGGTCACTTAATTAGTTGTCTCTGCACGGGCACCTTGCTCTGTCTGCTCTACTTTCCCCTGAAGAATAATCAAATGTATCTCCGTCAGGATATACACGGATTCCGAGAACCGTTTGTCTTCGTGTGCTGTCTTTGACAGTAAATCCCTTGTCTCGGAACGAGTTCTGTGACGTCTTGTCGCTTAAGATCTCATTTCTCAAACTGTGCGCAGTGATTGAGTGATCGTGGAGATCACCTCGTATGCTTGACAGTCTTCGAACCGGAACTTGATTCTCATTGGTCAAATACTGTCACTGTCACGTAAGAGGGAGCTTGTCATGTGTCGCTAAATTTTAAGGCGGTGTTCCTCTAGTTTCGGTGCGGGCTATTAAACGACGAATCCGCGTTCGAAATGACACGTCACTCTTTCTTTTTAGTCACAGCTTCTGGTAGGGACTGGTAGAGTAAAAATGTCAATGAAAATAACGCTACTGTTATCCTTCCAAAACAGATACAGTGTTTAGCACTACACCACAGTGTGAGCGCATTAAAACCACAGAAAGACATTACCGTCGATGTTTTCAGCATCTGCGATGTAATTAGTGTGAAACACATGCCTGGCGAGAAGTATTGGCAATAAGTTAGGAACCTCATTCCGTCCTGCTCGCTGATCATGTTTCTAAATCAAATACCATCGTGGCGCTTGGCCGTTTTCTGTCTCTGTTCTCGTGGAGGAAGCCGTTGTAATTGCTCTAGTCGATTTCTGCATTGACTCTGAGAGGTACGCGGTTGGAAATCTACACACGGAGGCGAACCTTAAACACAAACCTAGGCGGTAATTAACCACATATCAACAAAACGATTTGCGTAGGCGTACTCTATCTTTTTTTTAAATAAACCATCACTACTTCCTGTTCGACCTCTGCCTCTAATACTGATAGAATCTCGGGGAAGCTACGGTGTCAAACTATCTTCTTTATCAGAATAAAATCTTCAGCAGTTTATCTCTCACGCGCGATTTTTCTTGATTGTTTACTTTAAAATTTCACATACATAGTCGGTAGGCTATCCTCAGTAAGAGCGTATGTTTGTAAGGCTTACGGGAGACAGGTTTTTACGAAATCTTAGTCAAATGGCAAAGGTCGGGTGTAACAATAGCGCTAGCTTGGCAGTGAAAGGGTAGATGAAAGTACACGCAATCGTAAGTATTATTGAACAAGATATTAACTCGGATGTCGATTGCCATCGATAGAGAAAAAATGAGGATGGTTTTATTTGCGTTCAAATAGGTTGAAATTAAACAACTTTGGTTCAAATTATAAGGTTTTTCACGCTTGATTACAAACTCCCGTTAAACTGAACGGGTTGAGAAAAATTCAGGACAGATATATGGCAAGGGGCATTTTCATCAAGCCCATGCTTTTGTCTTTTCATTTAACCATTCATCTATATTATTCATTCATTATTTTATAACTTAGTATTCCAATTTTCTGTTTTTAATAGTTTTTATAGTTTGAACATCGATACTGGAACGTCCTGATTTTTTTGAGAAAAAAAAGCACAGCAAAGATCACGGCAATCACGGTTTTGCAATTAACTCAAGGTCTGCTGTATGTAACTCATCATTGCTATACTTCAACATTGCCCAAGAAACAGGCTTGCCAATAATCCCCTTGGCAAAAATAAATAAATAAATACATAAAATAAATAATAGAAAAAAATCGAAAAAATTTCAAGATTTTGTTACCGTCTTGTGTCTGACTAAATGATGGACACAGGTGTAAGTTACGTGCATGTATTTACATACGTGCAACAAGAATAAGCCGTTATTGTCCAGGCAATCATGTCCAGGAAATATGTCTGCAATCTTGACAAAGCTGATTAGTTGTATACCTAGGAGAAAAATAATACCCATAATAAGTATGGCAATGAACGTCTGCAAGGTGGACGGAGCTGCCAATAACTATCACTAACTTAATCTTTAAAGTCTGGGTGCCAAGGACAACTCGTGCAAATAACCAGATTACGAAATAATTCTAGAACGTCTCGGATCCGAAGTTCATGGCTTTCAGTTAAGACCGTTTTCCAGTTTTAGCGCTGTGGCATAGGATGGGGAACCGGGGCTGATAATGGAAGGAATGGGAACCCCCCCCCCCCCCACACACACACACAACAACAACAACAACACCAGTATCAGCCATCGGAGAGGGTAGCAGGGGGAAGGGTTACATTAATCACCCCCAACCACCTATTGTCCCTATTTTTTTCTAAATAGTTCCCCCTCAATCCCCGCCACCCCCTCACAGATATTACAATTTGCTAAATTAAAAGTAAGCTACGTAAAGTTGTACGCTTTGTGCCAAAAATCACGACACAGGATCCATATGAACCTTAAACCCTCTACATTCCGATATGAATCTTATGGAATCCGAATTCAAAGGTTGTTGGAGAATTCTGAAAGGGCCATACGAATGACAAGTTCGTTTTTAGTTTAAACAAGGTGGCAGCAAAATTCAGTAGGATGGGCGCTATATTCAGCTGCACTGGACCCATGCATGAAGACAACATAAAAGTAGGAGTGAAGTGGGCTGGAGGTCGACTGCTCGAATACACATGTATCTTATATGAGATCTAATTAAGGTACCGTTTTTCATTTCCTCTTCTTCCTTATAAACATCAATAGAAATAAAGTGATACTGCTTAGGTTGGGGATTCTCCTTGAAAACGATTACATTCTTTTAGATGCAGGAGTGTCAGACAACAAAACAATGCCGTCTGACCTTGAAGAGATAGGCAACAAACCTTTCATACCAATTATGAAGGTAAACAACTTATGTCCAGCATTGATTAATCTCTGTCAAAGCGCCCACTAAAGAATGAACATAAACGAACAACAAAAGTATTAGAAGAAACTGGACACACACATGCCATACACAATTTCTGCTTCTGCTCGATAGAAATTAAAAATTGAAAATAAACAAAGAATAACATTCTTCTCAGACAAATTCAACCTTCTCCAATATCCCACGGTACTGATATGTATGCGTATTTTAGCTGAAAGATCAGTCTTAACATTTTTGACAAAGACAGGTCTATTTCAATTTAAGATAAACACATTTTTAACAAAAACAGGTCTATTTAAATTTCAGATAAACACATTTTTGACAAAAATAGGTCTATTTCAATTTAAAATAAAGTCATAGTAACTATCACTTGAGTTAGTATTGGTCGGCAACATCGGCCGTTTCCATCATGCTGTAGAGAAGACAACACTTCATTTAATTAGTATATATCCTGACGATGTATCCTCGGTAAATGTAGACTAATTTTGACTTAAACTTAAGACCAAGTTCGGACTCTGGCTCTTTTGCAGAATCGAACCGGGTTACATCTGTCTGTAACAGTAAATCTTTTAAGCTAGCTTTCTTCTTAAAAAAAGTCGAGTGCAACAGCAAAATCAACCTGTATAAACGATCCATCTACCCTTTCAAAATCCCATTACCAAGGCGGTGGTGTAATACTTGTTTGTACACAAAGCGTACCCTTTCAATTGCCGTTTCCGCAAGCAATCCAATTTTGAAGCTGAAATAGATACAGACGGGTTCTCAAAAATTGGAAGAATGTATTTTTATAGTATTTTATGGTTGGTTTTGCTCTGTGTGGTCTATCTCATGTATTTAGTTTCAACTTCTGGTACATGAATATTTACTTAATATTAGTAGATACACATCTGGCATTTTGGGTGTCTAAGGTGTTCGACTGCAGGTGTTTCACATGTCTCAAGTTTTAACAAGGTAATTTGCTAATTTTTTTTCGTAAAGAGCCCGTGCCCGTGAACAAATGATAGATAAAGACGGGCAGACTCAGTAATACAGCCGGTGAAATGTTTATCAAGTGTGTTTGACCTTTATGGCTATCTGACGGTTTGAAAGATTTTGTTTATAAACCTTTAGTGAACACCTGTTAATGGTGCATATGGCCCACTTTCGTCAACGCTTGACAATGCTAGCTATTACTTAAAATGGCTATCGTCCGGTACCCTCGCCTTTGACCAATTTTGTAACAGCGAGACGAGCTTCTAGTAGATAAAATCAGCCAATCGAGAATTATAATTATATCCAATGGGCAATTCTATATATAGTATGGGCTAACTAACTGATGAAACTGGCTCCAAGTGAAAATCTCAAGATGACCATATGGTAGTGAACAACAAACTTCCCCNAACATAAAAGTAGGAGTGAAGTGGGCTGGAGGTCGACTGCTCGAATACACATGTATCTTATATGAGATCTAATTAAGGTACCGTTTTTCATTTCCTCTTCTTCCTTATAAACATCAATAGAAATAAAGTGATACTGCTTAGGTTGGGGATTCTCCTTGAAAACGATTACATTCTTTTAGATGCAGGAGTGTCAGACAACAAAACAATGCCGTCTGACCTTGAAGAGATAGGCAACAAACCTTTCATACCAATTATGAAGGTAAACAACTAATGTCCAGCATTGATTAATCTCTGTCAAAGCGCCCACTAAAGAATGAACATAAACGAACAACAAAAGTATTAGAAGAAACTGGACACACACATGCCATACACAATTTCTGCTTCTGCTCGATAGAAATTAAAAATTGAAAATAAACAAAGAATAACATTCTTCTCAGACAAATTCAACCTTCTCCAATATCCCACGGTACTGATATGTATGCGTATTTTAGCTGAAAGATCAGTCTTAACATTTTTGACAAAGACAGGTCTATTTCAATTTAAGATAAACACATTTTTAACAAAAACAGGTCTATTTAAATTTCAGATAAACACATTTTTGACAAAAATAGGTCTATTTCAATTTAAAATAAAGTCATAGTAACTATCACTTGAGTTAGTATTGGTCGGCAACATCGGCCGTTTCCATCATGCTGTAGAGAAGACAACACTTCATTTAATTAGTATATATCCTGACGATGTATCCTCGGTAAATGTAGACTAATTTTGACTTAAACTTAAGACCAAGTTCGGACTCTGGCTCTT